GTCAGGGTGTGACGCACAGTGCAGAGGTCAGGGTGTGACGCAGAGTACAGAGGTCAGGGTGTGACGCACAGTGCAGAGGTCAGGGTGTGATGCAGAGTACAGAGGTCAGGGTGTGACGCACAGTGCAGAGGTAAGGGTGTGATGCACAGTGCAGAGGTAAGGGTGTGATGCAGAGTACAGAGGTCAGGGTGTGACGCACAGTGCAGAGGTAAGGGTGTGATGCACAGTGCAGAGGTAAGGGTGTGATGCACAGTACATAGGTCAGGGTGTGATGCACAGTGCAGAGGTTAGGGTGTGACGTACAGTGCATAGGTCAGGGTGTGACGCACAGTGCAGAGGTCAGGGTGTGACGCACAGTGCAGAGGTCAGGGTGTGACGCACAGTGCAGAGGTCAGGGTGTGACGCACAGTACAGAGGTCAGCAGATGTGACGCAGAATGAATAGAAACTTACAGTGCACACAGATTTAATATGCCCTCTTTCTCTCCAGGTGATGGGGTGCAGCCATGTTTTCTTCATGTACCAACAGACTGCTGGTGATCCTGCAGTCTTCCTCCTATAGTAGCGGAAGTGGGAGGAGGAAGCTGCAGGTGGCCGCCGACAGACTGATCACTGAAGCCGGCACACAGTAGTGACAGCTGAACAGATTCTTCTCCCCTCGGCTGCTCTGTGGCTGCAGCCACTGAGGAGGAGAAGAATGTGTACAGCTGTCACTACTGTGTGCTGGCTTCAGTGATCAAGATCGGAGGTCACTCTTCTCAGAAGAGGGCTTTGCTCATATGAGCTTACAATCTAGGAGTTTTGGAGAAGTTAGATACTATAAGTAAGTGATGCAGCAGTGGGTAAAGATGATTGGCGCTGGTCACATGGTGAAGAATGTTTCGTGTAGAGAGATGAATATGAAGTTTTGAAGAGGTAGAGGCTAGTCTATTGTGAAAAGAAAAATCATTCCAGACTGGAGCTTCACTAGGGAAATCTTGGATCCGGGCATTAGAGCAGATCATGAGTAAGGATGACAAAAGCAGGTTAGTGGAGGAGTAGAGAGTGCTGATCAAAATCCATATTGTAGCATAAAGGTTCCCATAGACATTGTAAAATCACTACCAGGTACCTCTGAATGGAGAACAATTAGAAAGAGTAGGAAGTGTATCCCGTACACACAACTAGGGTTGGGCTCGATGTTCGAGTAGAACGTGAGTTTGACTCGAACATCGCTAGTTCGTGTGTTCACCAAACACACAAACTATCATGACATTCAGTGGGCTGTTCGCCCACCGAGCACCCCATAAGGCAATGCACCTTCTGAAGCACTGATTGGCTAAAGCCTTGCATCTGAACACAGGTCAGGTGAAAGACTTTGCCCAATCAGGGCACAGAGAACTGTGAGAGTCATGATTGGGCAAAGTCATGATGAGTCTGCCCAATCATGGCTCACCTGTTACAACTGTAAACAGTTGGGCGGACCTAGCTGTCACAAAAGTTGCCTGCTGCGGGCGTTCGTCGCAGCGGACGGGACGCTGTCGTTGGTTTGTTTTTTTGTTTTATTTTTTATTTTATCGAGTCGTCCTCATCGTGAACAACGCTGGACATCGTGATTGACCCTGGATTACGTCGGTGGATCAATTTTTTTTTTTTTAATAAAGGACTTATCATTGATTCCTGTCCCCCTGGGCAGTACCCAAATCCCCATATACTTTTTATGGCCAATAATATGCATATAAAGCTTCAAAATTGGAACATTTGATTCTTAAAGTTCTACCCCTATAGACTTGCATTGAGTTCGAGTTCAAATTCGATCTTTTCCCATGTTTGAAAGTTCGAATTCGAACCGAACACGGAGGTGTTCGGCCCATCACTACACACAACCCACTACACACACTGCTGGCA